TTGGTGGTGGCAGCAATAAAGTCCAGGGACAAAAGGTAAAATAGTTTGTACCTTGGGGAAGTTTTAACCTAAGCTGGTAAAAATAAGCTTAGGGGTTTTTTTATGCAGGTTCCTTCATCTGTACCCTAGAGTTCAGAGTGGGGAAGGAACCTTGACAGACAGTCAAGAGAATAAAAGTGGTTCATGAAACTGAAAGAGCAGATAAACTCACTCGGACAATGAGTGTTAAGATAGAAATTGAGGGGATCAAGCTAGGCCCTGGAGGATCTAGAGAAAGAGACAGAAAACCTAGATGCAACGTAGAGAGAAAAAACTCTACAGGAGCAATCAGCAAGCTAGGAAGAGAACCAGGAAAGAAGAGCATCTTGGAAGCTCAAGTTGGAATAAGATAAATGAATGGTGGTTGTCTGTAGCATCTGTAGATATCTCAGTCTATGAAAACTAACAAATAAAGAGTTATAAAATATTCTTAATTATAATAGATAGCAGGATTGTTATTGATTTGTATAATTATAGCAGCCACAATGTGTTGTACAAACACAAAGAAAAACAGAGTCCATGCCCTGAAGAATATACAAGCTAAAAGGATTTCATAATTCCATCCACCCATAGAGATGCAGAAGAATCACATTTCTTTAACACATGGTACAGTATATGAATAAACCCAGCATTCAATTAGATGTAATACTCTCTGTAATCAGTTTAAGAAGCTAAAAAAACCAAATAAGGTATCATAATTAGCTTCATAACAGCATCTAAGAGACACTAAAAAGCTGAAGTGCATATTACAACCAAGGTACAGTACATTAAGGAGCCAATCCTGCCTTTAGATACCCAGGCCAGTTTCTATCTTTTTCAGAAGGAATTGCACAGTGTATCTGAGCACAAAATGTTTTTCAGAAAAATTTGAGAGCAAACAGAGAATTCGTAGTCACATATGCAAAGCCCCTCACATCAATCAGAAGAATATTCTCTCAAAGATTTCAGCTCACGTTGTCCCCATATTACAGCCTCCTTTTGCTGTTCTATCAGTAGACACCAGACCTAAAGCATGCTAATGACAGGAAATTAACCTTAGTGTAGGGGGATGCTCCAATGGCATAAAGCTATGTTGCAATGGCTATGCCATCCCCTATCCGTACAACAATCCTAGGGGCACGACCAGGAGAAAAGGGGCATGACAGGGACTTCCCTACACTCCAGTGATCAACCACCACTGTATCTGCCCTTTGTAGTCAGCACAAGTTAGAGCAGCCTATAGGCTTACTTACACTGAGGGACCAGGCTGGTACACAACTTGCTCAGGACTGGGGAGGCACAACGGTGGCTTAGAGACGTTTCCGGATCAGTCCTGCTTGGGCTGTGCTGTGCACTCGTTGGCTGCAGTCAAAGATCTGGGCCATTAAGATTTGACTTAATAAATGAATAAAACCCACTCAAACCCACTCCCCAACAGAAAGATTTTCTATGTCCAAGAAAACAACAGTTTGATACAAGTCAAAAGTCCTTTTCATTTCCTACTAAAATATAAAGCACTTCGACGCACCAGAACTATGACTTGCCATTCTGTGCATGAGAGTTGTAAGGAAAGGTATTCATTGAAATTGGAGTGTAAATCCTTTGTTTTTCCAGCTCTGTAGATCACTGTGGTCAGAGCATGTACAATATCAGTATTAGAAACCACGACGTAGGAAGTCTGATCTAATGGGCAGTGCAGGGGTCCAGGTCAGAGCGAGAGTCAGCTGCCAGGCACCAGAGCCAGAAGGTTGACCTAGAGTCCGGACCAGAAATCGAAGCTAAGGATCAGAGCCTGGGTCTGATACCACATGCCAAGGGTTGAGCGAGAGTCAGAGCTGATCATCAGGAGCAAGGTGAAAAGGCAGGAACCGGAGAGAGGCAAAGATCAGACATGAAGCAGGAGCAGAACAGGAATCAGGAACAGGGTTTGATTAGGCAAGAACAGGGTCCAACATGGTGGTAGCAGCAGAAGGAGGAAGTCTGCAGAGTTGTTCGGACAGCCCAGCCAGGTCACTTCCTGGATTAACCAGCAGTGTGGGCTATTCAGTCGGCCGCAGGTCTGGGTTGTGCTGATACAACTTTCTGTGGGGCTTGATTTCCCAGTTTTAGTGAGATGGTGGTTTGCACATCTCCCTTGGTGGCGAGGAGCGAATGTCAGAGATCCAGGGCTCCCACAACCCTGGGTTCTAGATGTGCACCTTTGGATCCTTACACCCAGTTCAGACAACTGGATCATCAGTGTAATTTGGATAGAAACATTAACACAGCAGCAATATGCATCCTAGCAGTTGGCAGAGAAGCCTAGACAGTAGTAGAATAGAATATTTTAGCATAGTTGCTTTTTTAAAAGAAACGTATTAGCAACTGACATGGTGATATTCAAACCCTAGATAACAATTAGAGCTAGTCAGGGAGTACAAAAGTGATTAGCAAGTATATCCCAAGGAATCGTGGTGAATTCACCCCATAGTTAACCCTAAAATTGTATTAGTCATTGTCCATGTGCATTCAGATGACACCATTATCTTCATTCAAATGTTCACTGCAGTAACAGTCTAGTTGTCTGTACTATCTGGGGTTTGTCTCTGTTAGAGCCCAACCCCTTGTGACTTTTCTGTGTATCTCCTCCTCTGGTTCTGTGAGCATGATGCCAGTTCCTTCTGGGCAGCCATGAGCTAAGCATGGAGTCTCACCTCCTCTTGTCTACAAGAAAGCTGTACCAGTTTAACTTATATCAGTTTTTACACCAATTTAGTTAAACCAATGCCAAACCCTGTGTGGACACTCACTCTTACTCTGGTTTAAGAGTGGATTATTACAGTTTATCTTAAATCAACATAAACTAAACCATACCAAAATAAGCCTGTTTTTGTCATTACCCCTGGATCTCTAGCATCTGTTTCTCTGCTGACAACATTCATTAATCCCAGAGCTTTCACAAATCTTAACTCTCAGGGAAGAATCCACTTAGTATTAATGGATGCCTTCTAAATTTTACAAGTGAGTTCAGAACACTGCAGCAAGTGTTATCTTCCATTAAATACATACAAAAGGGCCGACATGGGAAAAAATAATAATTTTCCCGATCAGGTTCTCTGCCTTTACTGTCTTTTCATAAAATGAAAAGGATCCCTGGTATTCTTCATAGTCTGAAATTTGTTTCATTCAAATAAAAACTCTTAACTGATATTATTACTAATAATTTGCACTTGTATGCCCCACTTCATGTGACTGTTTCAAAGGGTCTTAATACACACAGGTAGATAAGCATTGTTATCGTTTCCCAGGGAAACTGAGACACAAAGAAACCAAACAACTTGCCCAAGGTCAGCAGCAAGCTAGTGACAGGGACCCAGCTCCAGTACAGCATGTAACTTTAAGCACGAGTAGTCCCACTGAAGTTACAGATGTGCTTAAATACTCTGCTGGATTGAGAGCAGAGTCAAAAAGATACCATTCCTTCTTCTAATGCTGTACCACCCAGCCCCATATTAGAAGTAACACCGAGGTACTTTACTGGAACTAGTTTGTTTTCTCTAGTGCTGCCTGTTTTCCTTGATAGAGCTGAAAGCTTCCAGCTGTAATTCTTTAGAGGACACCTAGATTGCCTGATATTGCCTAGACACTGATCTCCATGCACTTGGGGGCCGGATCTGCTCTTCGCATGCTTGCTTTCCAGACAACAGCTGCCCATCACACCAAGACTTTGAAGGTAACAGCAATCGCTATGGATGTGTTATATTTCAAGATGAGTCAGTGCAGCTGGCATGTGAAGAATTAACAACACCAATTATCATGTGACACAGGGAATGTGCACATAGTTCTAATGCAATACTTCAAAATATGGCAAAAGAATTCTCTCTCTCCTTTGCTTCCTCTCTGATGTAAGATAAACACATTAATCTCTTTCCTCTACTAACAGGAGTTTGATTTGGAGCAGGATTATTTTTTATAGTACCTAATTAGGTAATTTGTATTTGCAAACGCTCACATATCAATGCAAAAAACACACTGATTGTAATAACTAAGCAGTTCATTTCAGTATGTGTGTGACAAAAACAACTACAGACTTTTGATTTAACTGTCTGATTATGATAAAGGCTGATTGGCCTTGAAGTAAATATACTGAACCAAACAAACTGCATTGATCTAGGAAGAAGAGCCCGAAGTATTAGTATAAATCGTGGGCAGTACACTAGGTAGGTCTAAAACTTCTATGTGCACAGTTTGACAGACAGAACTAGAGTTACAGGTTTTATCAGCTGTAAAATAGCTTTTGCCTGGCTAAAGAGGAGCAGTGATCTCACTGGAAAACAAACCTATGTTAGCATTATGAGTGTTTTCAGTCCCTTAGTAAGCAACATGCAGTTCAGTGGCTTGACAGAGGACCTGCAGTACCATGCAGTGGATCAGAATTTGAGTCCTTTGTTCCCCGGGCTATTAGAGGCTGGAAGCAACAATAAGAAAATCTGGGGATAGGAAGGAAGAAATGTGTGCTGCTGCCCATCAGAGTGTGAGCCTCTGAAAGGAGTTTTTCATCAGACCCCTTGACACAACTAGTACTAAGCAAAAACATTCACATCAGGTAAAAAACCACTGAAAATGAGCCTTGTACCACTTCACAAACTTTAGCTCAGGCTTACTAAGGTTTGGCACACATGATCTGTGTCTGTTTCAGTGACTTGCCAACTCCACATCAGCCTCCTTCACTTCTGATCCTCTTCATAAACTGAACCTTACAGGGTTTTCATAACCCTAGTTACAAATGAGGCTAGTACCAGGCAAATAGAAAGGTCAAACTATCAACCCCAGCCACCCTAACACCTTTGGCTAGAACATATTCAAACTTGTGGGCATTTTTCACAGCTCAGAGTTCCTATCAATTAAGGTACCCAGGGCATGGACTTTCTTGAGCAGGGATGCCTTTTTTTTTTTTTTTTTTTTTTGAGACCCTGCCCCTTGTGCCCCCCAACGATGTATACCTTTTCCTGGTTGCTGATCCATCAGTAGCTGCCTCCACTCTTTAGCTGTCCAATGTCACTTGCCACTTGCTATTGTGGGCTGCACAATGAAACTTATTGGCTCACAGAACAGAGCTGTGTACTCAGAAAGGAGGGGGAGGTGCATGAGAGGGAACCAGAGAAGGGAAGTGGGGAAACAGGACAGCTACAGAAGAAGGGAGCCAACATGAGAAAAGAGAAGAATAGAGGGGAACAAGGATCCAAAAAATGGGAAAGGGTAAAAGACAGAGCCAGCCAGAAAGGGGTGGGAGAGAAGGGAAAATGAGAGGTGACAGAGCACCAGTAAAAGTGGTGTAGCTGCCCTATAAAAGAAGCAGACATGCAGAGGCACACATTGATGAGAACAAAAAAGGAGAGCTGGGTCCAGAAAGAAAAAACAAAAGGAAAGAAATGAGAGACAGAAATTCTAAATTACTGAGTTTTAAAATACAGTACACATATTCCCTCCTACATCTCTGCAGTATGTTCTTGGAAGATATCCCACAGTTCTGCTAATGTAGGACAGGGTCTGGTGCTGCTGATAATTGGACTTGGTTTAACTCTCTCTGCCATTAGGCACATAACTAAGCCCGTGGGCAGGCCATGTAATTTTAAAATTACCTGCCACTGCAGCAGATTTTTTTTTTCTGAATTTCGGGGGGGGGGGGGGTTAAATCCCACTCTGACAGTGATTAGCACTAAAAGCGACTGTGACAAAGACAACCTGCTCCCTCTATTTAGTTCATTTGTGATTTAACCTATCCTCTCCATAGTTCCCACTCTGCAAAAACTCAAATGGGAGATGCTACCCTTTAAAATGAATGAAAAAGACCATAGCACAAAAATATTCTTAGAGAGCGAAAGCAGGAAGGTTGAAGTGATGTGGGAATTAAGTTTTTTGTCGTATGTTTAAAGTTCTCTATAGCATTAGATTTTTATTTATTAACATTGTTTATTATTATCCCCAATGTTAAACAGAGATAGTAACAGCGAGAAACACCAAGGGCCAGATTCACCCTCATTACGCTTACATTAGCTAGCGTAGACTCTGAGATTTGCAAAAGCACCGTAGCGAGTGGGACATCTCACTCCCATGGTCTTTCAATGGGAGGTGGGCACCTAACTCCATTCAGTGTTTTGAAAATCCCATTTTGGAAGAGGGGTCTGGTGGTGAAAAGCATGCTCCATGGGAGGAGGATGCAGTTGCTCACTGGGTGAAAGGGAGGGGGTAGTGAGTCACTTTGCGATTAGGAAGGACCCATGATCAGGGTAGGAGGTGAGTGTAACATTAGTGGCTGGCTCCATTCAGCATAGTTCTTTTGGAGTCTGACAGAAGTTAAAACTGCCCTGCAGTGGAAATCCCAAGCGAGGTTTGTTAACAGAAACTCTGCCAAGAGTTTAAAGGGATGAGGTGTGGAGAGAAGGGGCAAAGCTCCCTCTTCTCTGCTATAAGTAGAGGGAGAGCTTTCTCTCCTCTCCCAGGCTTGGTACAGGTTCCCCTCTTGTTCAATCTGCCTTAACAATTGACATCACCTAAACTCACTGAATTAATTCCCTTTGGACTCAAGGGGCTTGTAAATGCATAAATTTATTTCTCTATGTACCAGCTTTTCTGACTTCAGGTTTGCTTCGGACAGAGGTAAATCTAGTTCAATAATAATAATTAACACCTGGTGTCCTTAGATCCTCTCGGCCAGCTCCTCAGATGGTGTAAATCAGAGTAGGTTCATTAACTTTAGTGGTGCTGCACTACCTTAATTCACCTCAGGATCTGGCCCTCACTAATTAATACCCCCAACCTCCATATTAGGTAACTACTGTGACCCTCATTTTGCAGACACACAGAGATATTAAGGGTCTTCTCAAGGCAGGTGTTGAGTCAGTGGCAGAACCTTAATGAGAATCCAAGAGCCCTTGGCCCCCAGCCCACAAAAGGCAGTGTGGTCAAGTAATAAGGCACAGCTGAGAGATATGAAGCTCCATAGCCCACCTGTAACTAAGAAATGTTGGTACAGGAAAAAAAATGTGTGTGAATGTGAAAAAAAATGTGAAATGTGAAAAAAAATAGGCCAGTGGTTTTCAAACTTTTTTCTGATGACCCAGCTGAAGAAAATTGTTGATGCCTGTGACCCAACGGAGCTGGGGGTGAGGGGTTTGGGGTGTGGGAGGGACTCAGGGCTGGGGCACAGGGTTGAGGTGCGGGGGTGAGGGCTGCGGGGTGGGGCCGGGAATGAGGGATTCAGCATGTAGGAAGGGGCTCTGGGCTAGGGCAGGGGGTTGGGGTGTGGGAGAGGGTCAGGGCTCTGGGCTGGGGGTGCAGGCTCTGGAGTGGGGCTGGGGATGAGAGTTTGGGGTGCAGGAAGGGGATCCAGGTTTGGGGGGGGCTCAGGGCTGGGGAATGGGATTGGGGCGTGGGGTTGGGGCACGAGTTTACCTCGGACAGCTCCTGGCCAGCGGCACAGTGGGGTTGCAGAGGCAGGCTTCCTGCCTGTCCTGGCACTGCAGACCACGCTGCACCTCGGAAACAGCCAGCAGCAGGTCCAGATCCTAGGCGGAAACACGCAAGCGGCTACACGTGGCTCTTGCCCGCAGGCACCGCTCCCCCCTTCCCCAGCTCCCATTAGCCAGGAGTGTGGAGCCAGTGCTCAGGGCAGTGTGTGGAGCCCTGGCCCCCCTGCCTAGGAGCCAGACCTGCTGCTGGCCGCTCCCGAGGTGCAGCGCAGTGTCGAAACAGATAAGGACTAGCCTGCCTTAGCTGGGCAGCACCGCTGATAGGACTTTTAACGGCCCAGTCGGCGGTGCTGACCAAGCCGCCACGACGCACTGAACTTCCATTCCGTGACCCAGTTCTGGGTCGTGACCCACAGTTTGAAAACCACTGGGCTTACCTCTGGCATCTATAACAAATTCTGAGCCTCATGCAAGTGCCACAGAAATATTCTAACAGAGCAGTAGGATACAAAACCTTTACATTTTTTAGCATTAACAGTCTCAACCATCTAAAATATAATTTTTAAAAAACACCTTAAATGTGCTCTTTGAAGCCCATACTGCTGCATGCCCAAGACTGCTTTGAAGTGTTCCTCTCTGCATGGGAAGAATGCCAGGGAGTAAATCAGTGAATTATGATTCAGCAAAATTTCTCCAGAGTTGAGCTTTCAGTTCAGAACAAAAGCAGCTGACAGTATAGTTCATGCTATCCTAGGTGAAGCTGTACATGTGATGTTGGGGACAAGTGGCCTGATTTCCAGAGGTATAGAGCATTTACAGCTCCCAGTGATTTCTAAGGGAGTTGTAGGTTTTTAGCCCCCTGAAAATCAGGCCATGTGAAAACAAGGAGAAATGATTTTTACAAGGACCGTGCCCAACGTTTACAAAGAACTACTAAAATCATGTCTCAGTTATGGGTTTTTCCCATCTGCCTTGCTTTTCTGTGTCATTCTTTTCAGCAATGAAATGTATCTATTATAAAAACTAGGCAGTTGTATTCCTCATTCTGTTTTCTAAATACTTATCTAACCTCTTACACCCAAATCCTCAAAGGTATTTAGGCACCTAACTCCCATTGACTTCCTTCCCATTCCTTCTCTGCAAAACCTCACATTTCCTGTTGCAGTTCTGCAGTTGCCACATATAGAAAAAAAGATATTTTACAAGCTCCACTAACAACTTTGAAGCATCTTGTTATGGTCACTATAATTCTGGCCAAGGACCATTTGTAGTCCATTGACACCTCTCCTAACTGGCCAGAGGGATCTGTTGTAATAATTGGGCCTACAAATTTACTCTAATTGTGAGCTCAATTGTAAGAAGTAAGTGACAGTTCATAAAATGTCACAACAGCCCACAAAAGTAACTGTTGACGGGAAAAGGTGCAAAAGGGAGACAAACACTGAATTAGTCCATACAAAAAGGCCTACTGGTATAATTCAAGGACTCTTTTTACAGATCATGCCTGGTAAACAAGAAAGACGTGGGACCAAAAATTAATAAGCCAGAATTGGTGCATAGGAAATTAGGCCTAATTGGTGAACAAAATAATGAGGGGATCAGCTGTTCCGTCCATCACTCCCTTTTGGGGTCCTTAAAAGAAAAATCTTATGGGAAAAATTGGAGAAGCAAATGCAACAATTGCTAACTGAAAGAAGGGCAAGGAGAAAGCTTTACCATCGTGGGTACCATTCTTGCCATTTCCTGGGACCATGGGATCCATTGTGATACCACTGGGCTTTCATTGTCCTAATCCTGAAAGATGTCCTGACTGGGCCAGACAGAAGGACCCAGATGACACCTCTACCTGTTCTGGATAAATCCTAAACACCCAAACTGGATTTGAGACTTTGGTGTTCCCTCTCCCTCCCCCCAGATTCTTTTCCTTCCCTACCTTATTTTTTCACTTTTCTATCTCTTTCCTTTTGTTTTCTGTTTAATAAGAGTGGTTTAGCCAGCAAACACCGTATATTTTGCAACACTGCTGTAAACCTGTAACAAAAAAAACAAAAACAGCTAAAAGCAATGTCCTAAACAGCCTGATGCTGGTACACATCTGTGAGGTCTCAGACTGGCTGACTGAACCATGTGCTATGCTTGTGGTTTTCCAGCAGTGAGACTGAAGTAAAAGTCAACACCAGAGATAGAAGCTGCACTTTCTGTCTTTGCTGTTCTCTTTTCCCCTTTTGTATGAGTTGGTCTTGTTTTACCTTTGAGGAAATGGGATCAGGCTTTAACAAAAACATCTCCCAGCCCATCTCAACTAACTTTTTCTCTTTTTCCCAAAGGACACTTATTACCATCTTCAATATCATCTAAAAGACTGTCAAACAAAGGGGTTTTCCTTATTTAAACAAACAAAACCTCTCTCCAGATAAAGTGAAAGGGAAGAAGAGATATGGTTAAAATAAAAGTCTTAATCCTTTACATTTCAAATGCTTTAGCTGATTTCCATGCCCCCCCACAGCTTGAATAAAAAGGATAAAAAAGATGTTTAATGGTATATTTTCAATGATATTAAGCAGGCTGCAAAGAGTCTTGTGGCACCTTATAGACTAACAGACTTACTGGAGCATAAGCATTGGATGCATCCGACGAAGTGGGTATTCACCCACGAAATCTTATGCTCCAATACGTCTGTAAGGTGCCACAGGACTCTTCGCTGCTTTTACAGATCCAGACTAACATGGCTACCCCTCTGATACTAAGCAGGCCAAGATCTCTGTATCGTAAGCCTGAGCCATGTTTAAAACTGTTTAACGTTGGGCAGTCCTAGGGTCATGATAACCCCTTTGACTCTCTGGGTCCATATATTCCATCAACATTAATAAAACAGGTCACTCAGTTTGCCATGTCTAAGCCAATTCTTTTCTGAAAGATGACTGAAAAAATTGCATTGTTAGGTTCCATGTCTTATTGT